GGAACCCCCCAATTGCTTTTTGGGGGTAATTTGAGGGAACTGAAGGTTTTTGGAACCCCTTAATTGTTTTTTGGGGGGGTAATTCGGAGAAAATTGCATGGTTTTAGAACCCCTTGATTGCTTTTTTGGGAGTAATTTGGGAGGAGTTGAAGGTTTTTGGAACTTGGCCTTTTTGGGGAGGCAATTTGGGGGAACTGAAGGATTTGGGAACCCCTCAATTTCTTTTTTGGGGGTAATTTGGGGAAAATTCCATGAATTTTGGAACCATTGAGCTCTTTTTGGGGGGCTAATTTAGTGGAAATTGAAGGTTTTGGGACTCCCTTGATGGCTTTTTTGGGGGAATTTGGGGGAATTGAAGGTTTTTGGAACCCCAACAACCTCTTTTTTGTGCTGATTTGGGGGGAATCGAAGGTTTTGGAAACCCTATTAACCTGTTTTTTGGGCTAATTTGAGGGAATTGAAGATTTTGGAACCCCCTCGACTGCTTTTTTTGGGGTAAATCAGTGGGAATTGCGGACGATGGAGCAAATTTGACAAACCGAGGGGTTTTCCTGCCCCCACGTTGACCTTTTTTTGCCCTTTTTAGATGAAATTCGTGGAGTCCATCCTGAGCAACAACACGACAGACGACCACTGCCAGGAGTTCGTGGCGCAGCGCGGGCTGCGGCCGCTCGTCACCATCCTGGGGCTGCCCAACCTCCCCGTGGATTTCCCCACATCAGCTGCCTGCCAGGCCGTGGCCGGAGTCTGCAAATCCATCCTGGTATGGCATTTTTGGGGGAAAAAATGGCAAAAATGGGGCTGGGAGCCCCAAAAATGGGCTCCGAACCCGCGGAAATGAGGTGGGAGGTCATAAAGTCGAGAGGGGAGAAATGGGGTGAGGGCACTAAAATGACAGCAGAGCCTTGGAAATAGAGCAGAAAATGGGTCTGAGCATCCCAGAAAAAAAGCAGAACCTCAGGAAATGGAGGTGAACATGGGTCTGAGCCCCCCAAAATAAGGCAGGACATCAAGAATTGGGTCTGAGCCCCCCAAAGGGAAAGAAGAACCTCAAGAAACGCAGATGAAAATGGGTCTGGACCCCCCAGAATAAGGCAGAACCACAAAAAATAGGTCTGAGCCTTCCAAATGGAAAGCAGAACTTCAAGAAACAGAGGTGAAAATGGGGTCTGAGCCAACCAAAATAAGGCAGAATCACAAGAAATGGGTCTGAGTCCCCAAACAGAAAGCAGAACTTCAAGAAAAGGAGGTGAAAATGGAGTCTGAGCCCCCCCAAAATAAGGCAGAACCTCAGGAAATGGATCTGAGCTCCTTAGAATAAAACAGAAACTCAAGAAATGCATCTGAGCCCATAGAAATGGAGGTAAAAAGGGGGCTGAGCCCCCTGAAATAAGACAGAACCTCAAGAATTGGGTCTGAGCCCCCCCAGAATAGGGCAGAACCACAAGAAATGGGTCTGAGCCCCCCAAAATAAGGCAGAACCTCAAGAAATGGAGGTGAAAATGGGTCTGAGCCCCCCAAATAAAAAGCAGAATCTCTAGAAACGGTGGTAAAAATGGGGTCTGAACCAACCAAAATAAGGCAGAATCACAATAAATGGGTCTGAGCCCCCAAATAGAAAGCAGAACCTCGAGAAAGAGAGGTGAAAATGGGTGTGAGCCCCCCCAGAATAAGGCAGAACCTCAGGAAATGGGTCTGAGCCTCCCAAATGGAAAGCAGAACCTCAAGAAACGCAGGTGAAAATGGGGTCCGAACCCTCCAAAATAAGGCAGAACCTCCAGAAATGGGTCTGAGCCCCCCAAATAGAAAGCAGAATCTCTAGAAACAGAGGTGAAAATGGGTCTGAGCCAACCAAAATAAGGCAGAACCACAAGAAATGGATCTGAGCCCCCCAAAATAAGGCAGAACCACAAGAAATGGATCTGAGCCCCCCAAAATAAGACAGAACCACAAGAAATGGATCCGAGCTCCCCCAACATAAGGCAGAACCTCCACAAATGGTTGCGACCCCCCAAAAAAAGAAGCCACGCCGGATCTGATTGCCCTCATTTCCCCCCTTCTCCCCCCAGACTCTGTCCCACGAGCCCAAGGTGCTGCAGGAGGGGCTGCTGCAGCTGGACTCGGTGCTGTCTGCTCTGGAAGCCCTTCATCGCCCCATCGAGGCCCCGGGGGGGTCGGTGCTGCTGCGGGAGCTGGCGGGGGCTGGAAGTGTCCCCGATGCCACGCTGTCAGCCCAGGCCACCCCCCTGCTGCACGCCCTGACGGCCGCTCACGCCTACATCATGATGTTTGTGCACACGTGTCGCGTGGGGCAGGTAGGAGGGAGTGGGGATGGGGGGGGTTTTT